AGTTGAGCATCCATTGTATGTCCAGCTTAGGCTGGCTTAGGCTGATGAGGGCAAGACAGGAAAAGGTCTAGGCATCGAGGAACTTGGAGCACCTGTTCTTAACTGCCACTCATTAGGATTACCTGGGGAATTTAAAAACCACTGATGCTCAGAGATTCTGATTTAATTGGTCTTGAGTGAGGCTCAGGCATCAGTACTTTAAAAAAAAAAAAAAAAAAAAATCAAATTCAAAAATAGGCAAAAAGGACATGAACAGACAAAAAAAAAAAAAAACTCCCCAGGTGATTCCAGTGTGGAACAGGGCTGAGGACTACTAAACCAAAAACTAAACCCACTGCCAATAAGTTGATTCTGACTCATAGCAACCCCCTTTGGGTTTCTGAGGCAGGAAATCTTTACAGAGGTAGATTGTCCAGTCCTGCTTCTGCAGAATGGCTGGGGGGTTTGAACCACCAACCTTCTGGTTAGCAGTCAGATACCTTAGGCACTATGCTACCAGAACTCCTTTGAGGGTTACTGTTGTTGTTGTTGTTATGTGCCTTCGAGTCGGACCCGACTCATAGCGACCCCTCCTTGGGTTGCCAAGGCAGTATCACTATGAAAGTAGATTGCCCAACCTTCCTTCCGAGGAGTGGCTGGTGGGTTTGAACCGTCAGTCTTCTGGTTAGCAGCCAAATGCCTTAGGCACTATTCTACCAGAGCTCCTTTGAGGATTACTAGCCCTTCCAAAAATAAACCCAACAAACTCACTGCCATCGAGTTGCTTCCAGCTCATAGTGACTCCTTTGGGTTTCCAAGGCAGTATGGAAATAGATTACCCCATCTTCCTGGTGGGTTATGAACCGCCAACCTTCTGGTTAGGAGTCAAATGCCTTAGACACCATGCCACCAGATCTCCTCATTAGTCCTTAAAGCAATAATAATAGCTAAAGGATAGGGTTCACTGAGCATTTTCCATTGGCCGAGCGTTTTACAGGCCTCATCTCATTTAATTCTCACAGCATCCCCAGGAGGCCTTCTCCACTTTATGATGAGGAAATGGGCTCAGAGTGCTAGGTGTTCTTAGAGCTGGGAACTGAATCCACGTTAACTCTAGGTTCTGTGTCTACAACTCCCGCACCACCCTGTTTCACCAGATCACCATCAAATTCAAGTCTAACTGGTATGATGGGGAGAAGAAAGACAGGGCACTCAGAGATGTGCGGGATCAGTGTAGGTTGGGTCGTCAGGAGGATTGGGGGGGGCTCTGAAGTGCCAATTTTGGCCCACTGATGTGACACATAGGAAGGGTTCTCTGGACCTGAGCTCAGCAGACACGGCATAGTAGAACCAGCATCTGCAGGCTCACAATCCCTCCCTAGCCCTGTGTTCTCCACCCTGTGAGCAGCATCCCTATCCTGTCCCCAGGGCTGCCCATTGAAGGCTGTTGTGCTTCCTGGCTTCTCTCTGAAGGGCTGGTGCCCTCCTGCGCTGGTCCTGGGATGCCCTGAACTATAACGGAACCTCCCTGAGGCCTGGCTCCGGGAGGGGGATCTGGTGTCTGTGTTTGCTGTGGTGACTGGCAGAGAAGCCCAGATCGTTTGTCTGTCTTTGTTCTGGAAGGAAATGAGAGCCTCCCAGGAGGCGCAACAAGCCAGAGGGTTGGATTCCAGGCGGGCGTCCCTGAATCCCAGCCAGGGTCTAAATGTAGACTCTGAGGAGGGAGTGAACTCTCCATGAACTTGTTTGAGACCCCCAAAAAATTTCTTAGGAAGGAGAGAAGGTCTCTATCTCAGATTCTGCCCTGAGCTGAATTTCAGGCAGGGCTCAGGAAGTGGGGGCATCAGTGCCAGCCCTTCCTCACTAATTTGTGGCTATGTTTCAAGAAAAATAGGCTTGAACTCAAGTGCTGGCTCTAATAGGCAATGGCTGCCTATGTTGAGCATCCTGTGGCCATATCTGGACTTGGTGAACAGAGTCCTGTAATTGATTAGCAATGCCTGCCAGGGATGTGGGAGGT